AAGGTCCTGCACGGGAAGCGGTTGTGGCGCCTTAGGGTGGAAACCCTTATTGTGACCGCACCGGCTATTTTGCGTCGACAATACAGGGCGACGACCAGAGTTGGGGCGAGGAAGTGCAAGGGAGCGTTGAGTAATTGAGTTGTCATATGCAGGAGGGTCTTTAGCGAGAGGTTTGGCGATGCCGATCATCATCTTCTCCATTTACTGTGTATAAGTGTTATTCAATCCCCTCGGTTCGTGCCGAAGCATTGGGAACTACCCGACCCTGTCGGCATCTTCGCGACGTCGAATGTCCATGCTCTCATCTCCTGGCCGTAACCTCCTAACGCGAATGCAACTCCCTGCTATGTTCTCGCTTAGATCAGTAGTTCTAATTGTACGTAACAAAGCATACTCCCAGTGGGCAGCTAGATAGATAACTTTTCAATCGGTCCACAATCGTATGAAACCACTCGTTTGAATAATTGCAAATGCTGATCCCTAACTTGAAGGAGCAGTTAATATTCAGCAATATGTACACTCTCCTGATATGGTGATGGAGTCTGAGATGCGCTGGACACTGGATAGCAGGAATTGTCTGTGCAGGTCGCTCTGATGTCCTGGAAAAGGCCTCAGCGCCATACCAAGAGGACTCCCAACTCGTAGCTCCACCCACGGAGGTGCATTTGCTTCCGTTGGGGGCGAGAGACTCTTATGCCTAGAAATCAGGGAAGACTCTGGTCAGGAGAAGCAGCGCTGTTGACAGCTGGACTTATGGATCAACATCTTGGTATCCAGAAGCGTTTTATCAAAGGGGTTCAGTGTAGATGCTAAAGGCGTTTGAGAATACATAAATATGCATCTGTTGCACTTCTCCTCTGTTCATCATCACAACAGTCATTCTTTCATTTATCAAACACTCCTTTAGTTTCTCTTGTATATTCTCACCTTTATTCATTCATTCAGACTTTCATTTTTGAAGTTTTGAGCTCCGCATCCGCTAAGGAGGCCTACTCCAAAATGCTGCTGCCGAAGCTCTGTTATCTCTTTCTCTTCTTTCTGGGCCTCGTTGCGACTTCGCCCGTGGTTCTAGAGGAAAGAAGCCTACTTGATCCCCGCGCTCCCAACCTTAACGAGCTTGTCGAGAAACAGGAGATCACCAACCCCAATCTTGGCAAGTCAAAAAAGACACTGCCTTTCCGGGTCTACCGCTCTGTCGTCACTTTTAAAGACGGTAATCAAGTCCAAGATAAACACATCATTGGACTTGCCAAAGCCGGCTTTCAGAATATGAATGAGTTGTTCAAAAAGGAACAGGAGGAACATAAAAATGCCAATGACCACAACAGGATCAAGAGACCATACGTTATGACTGCGATGAAGGTAGACAATAAGGTCTATCTTGCATCAAGTATCACGGGCGGCAAGGCCAACTATATCTACGAAAAGGCTGAAAATAATGGAGGCAAGGGCAAATTTACGACCGTTTTGGACAAGGCGAAGGATATCAGAAACGCATTGAAGGAAGTCAGCGCCAAGAGCCAAGAGGTTAAGGTGAATAAGGACAAGCAGACTGATTCCAAGAAAGACAAACACACTGCTCCCCAGGTGGGTAAACGGACAAACGGGGAACCATCTGCCGCGGGCTCGTCAAATGGCCAAGGAGTAACAAACACGAAGAAGCAGAAACCTGACACCATCTATCAGCATAGGATGAATGCTGGCTGTGGCGAGGTCATGGCATCTCCTGAGTATACAATCGTGAACGGGGACGGAAAACTAAGAAAGAAGGCGCCCAAACCAAAGATTGTTGCATGGGACGGGAACGAAAACGATTCGAAAGGCCCCATAAAGCCGCCATGTGGTGACAATGACGACCCCGATGGATGCGGGGTGAACTGGGGCTGCGGTGCTTTTACCGGGGAAAAGGGCATGGGTTTCGAGGTGATTAACGTCGAGCACCTAACCGATAGCGACATAATGCTTCCCGAGGAAAAGGACTTTCCTGAGATTGTGGCCATAGATCATCCCAAGTTTCCCGAGCCCAAACCACTGAAGCCCGAGGAGACTGGCAACAACAGCAGCGGCCAGCACAACAGCAACAGCGGCCAGCGTAATAATAACAGCGGCCAGCGCAATAATAATAACAGCGGTCAGCACAATAGCAACAGCGGCCAGCGCAACAGCAGTAGCGGCGGCAGGGGCAGGGGCAGTAGGGGCGGCAGGGGCAAGATTCATTGAGCCAAGCATGCTTCAGAGTATGGAACATTTCTTGGTAGCGTATGTAAATGTCTCCTGTTGGATAGCCGTCTTCTAGGCAGACCCTCTCAGATAGAAGCAATTAACCACCAAGCTCCTCCTGACCAGTATATTATACATCTCACTATGTCGTTATTGACTGTTGAGTGCCATCCTGGTCTCTGTGTTAGAGTGTTGTAGTCTAGGTCACTGGAATTAGTAAATCAACAGGCGATGTACATAACTAATGGAGTGATATCAAGCTTTTTATCAAGTTCATCATTGTTCACTTGTCCGCCCTCTCCTTTGAATGAGGATGCTGAGACCGTCAATATGCTATAGACTCATTCTCTCTTTAGCATTTTAATAAATGAAGGTTTAGTCCCTCGCCAAGAGAGAAAGAAAATGAACGTCTCACTGAAATACAGCCAGCACTGCAGGGTCTGCAATATTAAGAATTTGAGGCTCGTCACACACAACTGTTTTCATAAATTGCCTACTTCTAGAGTATTGGGCTGCTATAAGTATATCAGAGGTGAAGCTTAGGATGTTGAACAATCCACTAACACTAACATATTCACTTAGAGCTAGATTGATTTAATTGATACTGTCAGCCTATTCTAACATTGACTAAACTACTGACACAAAACTATCTTATCATTCACCAAAGAGCGTTCTACTGATAGTTAATGCTTCAAATACCACATAGTAATACAAGCAGGGCTTTGATGACTTCTTCTTTCAGGGCTCCTATTTTTTGATTCCTTTACTTTTGCTGTATAGTTGTGGGACTATTTATTCTATATAGACTTCTTCGAAAGCGACCCACTTCTACCCGAGGAAACTATTTAAGACCTGTACCTTTTCAACGGCTGTAGTACGATTTGAATCAGCGGGTAGACGGAGTAGCTCCTAGTGAGATCTAATCGAGAGAATATACATAATACCTTGCTGAAGAGAGGTCTACCTATATATCTCTATTACAGAGGAGCTTGCTTACATATTCGATATAATTATATCTGAGGCTCCGATATAGTACCAGACATACTTCCTATCTGTACTCTTTCCTTCCAAGCAATATTTTATATGTATTCTATCGATGCGCCGCACACATGAAAGATGCAATACTATCGCTGTAGGGAGTGTATGGATAGTGCTAGCAGACAAGCGTCCTTTCTTTTTACTTATTTACCTAATGAGCGACAATACCATGCTACAGATGTTGATCCTTCGGTAAAGATACCGAGGAGGGTGTCTCCTGCTTGCAAGGAATGCAGAAGACGGCGGGTAGGAGTAATTATATACTACCGCAGTTTCTTGTTACAACTCTGCAAAACTATGATAAAGACAGGACATACCGTATAGCTGAGCTTCACAATCAACAACTACAATTAGGACGGTAGATAAGAAACCTTGCCACCTATTATAGGATGGCAGTAAAATGCATAGAGGTGCGGAGTGATGCTCATTACGGCTGGGTATGCTATTACTTTACCGTTTCAGGTTAAAGTTCCGGCGCGCGTGTAGAGACAAAAACAAACCCTAACGCAGTTGTTTGGAAGCAACCAACCACACCTCCCACCACCCTCCTCTCATCTTTTTTGACCCACATATATGGAATTGTTGGCATCCAATTTCAGGCAATGATCACTCGATCTAGACCTTCCACCCGAAAGACGGGTCAAAGGGAAGGACATACTGGCCCGGAGGAGCTTTTTAAACGAGACGTGCGAAAACACACCAAGACCTCACAATATCGGAAACTGCCTATGACAAAATTGAGCATGAGTCTACCGACAAGACGGCAATTCGTGTCACGGTGCGTTGCCGGAGTCGTAATGTGCGAGAGACCGAGGAAGGTCGTGCTGTTAGTCTCCGGGCGGATGCCATCAGGGGAAAGAGTTTGGAAGTGTCTATGGGAGCTCTCTCTAGCAAAACCTACAATTTCGACCGGGTGTTCTCATCGGCAGCTGATCAGCGCACGATCTTTGAAGATACTGTATTGCCAATGGTTGATGAAGTGAGATTTCAATTTGCCTCTGCACAAGCAATGTGCTCTAATACACAATCCCGCTATTATTAGGTTACAGCTGCACCACCTTCGCTTATGGACAGACCGGCACTGGCAAAACGTACACAATAACTGGAGAGATGACGGAAGAGTTTGGACTTTTATCCGACAATGCGGGGATTATCCCACGCACTCTCTACACGGTGTTTGACAGGCTCAAGGGAAGAGATAGCATTGTTAAGTGTTCCTTTATCGAGCTGTATAATGAGGAGTTACGTGACCTTCTCTCCGATGACGAGGAAACGAAACTCCAATTGTTTGAAAGCGAACGGAATGGCGTCGTTAACGGCAATCTATTGGTAAAGGGAATGTAGGAATCATACATTGATTCCCCATCGGCTGGTCTTCAGCTACTCAAGATGGGTAGTGAGAAACGACAGGTGGCAGCAACGAAATGTAATGACCTGAGCTCCTGGAGTCATACTGTTTTCACAATACATGTCCTCACCAGAACTAGTGAGGTGTCTTTGACGTCTGGGAAGCTCAACTTGGTGGACCTGTGAGAATATCCAGCGTAGTGGTTCTGAGAACAAGCGAGCCGTCGAAGCTGGACAAATCAATAAAAGCTTGCTAACGCTTGGACGAGTCATCAATGCATTGGTCGATAAATCTTCACATGTTCCTTACAGGTGCTGTATCCCCTGGGTTATTTGAAGATGAAAAGTTAACGTAAGGCAGAGAACCAAAGTTAACAAGATTGCTGCAAGATTCCATGGGTGGACGGACCAAGACTTGCATAATTGCGACTGTCTCGCCTTGTCAGTCTAACCAGGAAGAGACCATATCCACATTGGACTACGCATTTCGCGCCAAAAATATTCACAACAGGCCCCAGATGAACACGCCTGTCCCCAAAGATACATTACTCTCTGAGCTTGCCTCACAAATCGAGAATCTTAAGCGCAATTTGATAGCAACAAGGCATCGAAATGGCGTTTATATGACTTACGACGCACATGAAGAAATGACCAAAGAAAATGAGTCACAGCGGATCATCAACCAAGAGCAGCAGCAAAGGATAGAAGTCTTGCAATCAAACCTCCACCACAAGGCAGAAGAGCTGCTTGCATTGAAGCGTCAGCTCCAACAGTTACTCGTCGACAATGGGGAGGCTCATGTAGAATGACATATCAAGCTCTGGCAATCTGATAGAAGGCCTTGCAACGCACAGCCGGGTTGATGAATGTATCACAAAGCCGAAGCAATTCGTCGAAGAGATTGTTCACCTCAGAAGCCAGCTCAAAGTGCGCATGGACCAAGATAAGAAGGTATGGATCTTTATCCGTTTTTAATTTGACCTTTTGGTAATTGGAAGCAGACTATTGATAACGAGCACCTTTCCGCTCGACGAGCTGTGGTATTTGCCCAGAAAGATTTACAGCAAACCGTGGCAAATTGTGAGGATGGGTTTGACGAACCAGTGGCGCTCTGGGCTCAAAAATTGGAAAACACGCAATCGCATAATAACCAGCTCATCGATGCGTATCGTAATAAATTGAACACCTTGGAGGCCACTGTGCAGCAATCATGCTCGAATGTGAAGGGACAACTTGAAACAGTTCTTCAAAGTTGTGGTCAGTTTCAGGACGATATGTTACTTCGATCGTACTCGATAGAGCAGCCTATTGCCACCTTGGAGAAAGATTTTTACAAGCCCCTGTCGCATCTGCAAGAGAGCATACGGAGTCCCATATCTCGAATAAGTGCCTTTCTGAAAAGACTGTCTGAGCCCACAAATACCTTGCCTCAAAATGGCAATGGGGCCTCATCGACCTCTTCGGTACATGAAGGACTCCGGGAGAAGAATTTTCATGATAGGCAACAGGTAACTGATAGCGACCGAGGGGGCATTCTTCCCTGGATACCTGGGAATCCCGTCGAGCAGGCATGCTCCGAGGTAACTTCTGACAACGATGAACCCCGTCTAAAACGGCGTCGGATTTGAGAAATATATATACTCCGACAACATTCACTAACCCCTGATAATATACCACTGCATATTTCAATACAGCAAGCACATTTCGAATTCCGAAGTCCAGCTGTATCGTGACCCTGGGTATGTATTTTAACTTCCGAGCATTTGTTTGCTCTATATAAAAGATCAAGCCCGAAGAGTAGCGGAACATACGCGGGATAATGTCTGGCCGTGGGTCTAATTGCCGTTTGTGCGCAGTGATGTGCCCTGCACGACAAGCAGGTACCTATGCGCGTTTCGTCTCTGATAGGATATCATCTTGCAGCAAGCAGGTTAGTAGTGACCTCGCACCTGAGCCCAACTCGCCCATTTTGTGTTGCCAGACCTCTTGATTATGGGTTGGGCTGGCCTGTAGTAGTCACTGGTCCGGGGAGCAAATCTACCCTGATTTCGCCGTGCCCTAGCATAGTTTAAGAGAGATTTAGGGCTGTAAATATACACTGATATCTATATTGAAAATAATAACAGAGCGCGAAGTGGAGAGCTATTATTTGATATTATATTTTTTACTATCTAGCGGTTTCTTGTATTTTTTCTAAATTTATATCCCGATTAGTTGCTATATTTAAATACTATGTATCTGTATTCCCTATTTATATATAATCTCTAGCTTTGAGACTTACACTATTTAAAGTATCTAAACTATTTAAACTATTAGAATAATTAAACGAATTAACTGTAGTATATTCCTGGCTTATTAAAATATTACGATCGGTTAGTTGCTAGTAGGAAAGATACAGACATACCGATCGAATGCTTTTGACTACCAGGATGATGCACGTGATGTTGCGAGTTAGGGCATACTTTATCCAAAGTGAAGTTTGGAGGGTGCCATTCAAGCTTGCGAACATGTTCCAGCCTGAGTCTGGCTCGAATTTCCTCACAAAGAATCGGATCGGTCCAGTATTGGTGCTCATCTGAGGCGGAGGTACGGGTGCAGGTGTCATAGCCGGATTTTGCTGCAGAGGCGAGCCATTTTCGGCGTAGCATTGGTTGCCAGTGGAAACGGGGGAACAGTTGTTGAAGTTGAGCGATTCTGGTGGGTGTAGAACAGTGGCTGTTTCTGTCGTTAAAAGCGGTCTTTTTCGGCGTCAATTTCACAGGTCCCCAGATTCTTGTTGTAAATATTGTGCTAATTATAGAAGCAATTGGACTCTGTGGGTTGTGTTCCTAACGATCGGTGAGTGGTTGGTCCGTATTGAATCCGTCCTTAGGCGACAAGGTTGATCATTTCCAACTTGCGTCTCATGGGCATTCTTGGATCTTGCCCACCACCAGCAAACGTTTAGCTACACAGAAATCAAAGAACAGAGAGGCACGATAATGTCTTCCTCTGGCTCCCAGAATTTACATCCCCCACCACCACCACCCTCGCCCCCATTGATCGGCAAAACCGCCCCCAAGCTACCAACTGTAGCATCAGAGGGACCCACCGGGGCTTACCTGGTCGAGTTACTAATTTTTAACGGCTGGCCCTTTAAAGACCACTGGGCCTACTGGATTCGGTCACCCTCTGACCCTGATATTGGTGTGCAGCTCCATGCGACCGGGGATGTAAGGAACGGCTTCGAGTTCCAAATCAAGCGCAACTATGACTTCCATGACGACAACAGTGAACGCCCCTCTACCCGGATTCCCTTACAGTGGATCGACGGGAAATACTTTGACGAACGGGCGATGATGAATAATGGGGTGTTGAAGCTGGACAATGTGCCTGTCTGTGGCTTTGAGGCTAGTGTATACAAGGTCAAGGCTCCGGGGAAGTCTTTGAATACGGTCACCGAGACTGTAAGTGCAGGGAATACTTTATAATATCTCAGTCGGATCTGTTTACTGGAGTAGTGTACTAAGATACATGTCCAGGCCATTTTGGAAGGAAAGAAAGCGCAAAAGGTGAACCAAAGGAACTGTCAGACATGGATTGTGGAGTCTGCCGATCAACTTGTCCGCGACGGGATATTTAGCCAGGAAGTTGCGACGTATCTTCGTGCGATTGAGCAGTGATACGCGTGTGGCAATATCCAAACACTATCCTTCATCTGTTTGCTAGAAGCGAGATGCATAGACATTCTTTTCCTTGCGGAGAAATCGAACACGATCGTATGAGTCGCGTCTTTTCGAGGCGAAGCACCCGCTCAGCCTTGCCGATCGGGACCTGAAACTGCCAACCAATGTTCGCAATGCGGGCAGCGGATTTGTCCGGAATCTGAGTGGATATCGTGCCGTAGGATCCACTGTAGGAACGGGAGGCTAAGATGGCACTAAAGGGGCGCCCAGAGCATTGACGTCTGCCACCAGTTTCCTGGACTACTCCGTAGTAGAGGCAGAGATTTCGATCCAGAGATGTCAAGTAGCATATTCAGTAAAGCAATAGAGGATCTAGGTGGAGCAATACTGTTCAAATCGTAGACCCGCAAAAGTGTCTGCCTATCAATGCTTAATGACCATGATAAGAGATCTTAGTAGGAGCCCCACCCGGGCGCTCAGACAACGCAAGGGGATGAATTGGGTAAGCTTACGAACAATGCGAGCGGGGGAAATTATCGCAGGGTCATAAGTTCATCTCCTAAGTAGTTAAGAAGCAGGGATCAACGAGAGTCAAGAGAGTAAGGCTGAGTTGGAATATACCTCGTAAGCCCTAGTCTGCATAGGGTATAGAGCAACCCCGTGATCATCCCACTCCTTTTGATTGCAGCGTGCTTTGTTTTCGTGAGATTGTCCACATCACTCCCGGCTGTAGTCTCTTTCGCGCGTGGCCATCATGCTCACGATTCAGCTGGAAAACCAATTGGCCTGCTATTCAGGACATGAACACCTTCGTGGTTGTGTCGTCTATCATTGCCCGAACCCGATCGACATCCAAGAGGTTCGGGTGAGCTTCTACGGCCGCGCCAAGGCAAAAGTGCAGAAGATCAAGGGCGCGACCGCCACCTTTCGAAGCAAGAGCATTCTGTTCCATGAAGAAAAGACTCTAGCCACCCCTAATGGCGGCCAGCTGGCCCGGAATACGTACGAATGGCCGTTCGAGTTTACATTCCCGTCGCAGGTGGAATCACCCTCAAAGTGGCCCGAAAAGGCCCCGTTCCGCAGCGATGAACACCACCCGCTGCCTCCATCTTTTGCGGTGGATGTAGGTGATTCACAGCGGAAGTTGCACTGCGTCATCGAATATCGCATCGAGGTTCAAATGTTCAAACCGCAGAAGACATTTCTGTCGAAGAAAGCGCCGTTATATACAGAGGCGCTGCGCGTCAACTTTTTGCCATTGGCAGCACAGTGGGAACCAACAGATCATGCGGATAAACTAAGTCGAAAGCACAAGGATGAGGTGTTCACCGTGCGCAGCCTCCTCCTACTGCCGGAAAATCGGGGACGAAGTCTCAAGGTCGGAGAGAAGTTTCAGTCTTGGCTGTCAAAGAAGCAACTCCCTCAATTTGACTTCAAGGCGTCATTCATATATTCCACGCGAGTGCTTCAGGGCTCACCAGTGGCATGTTTGTTGGACGTCGTCCCGTGTACGGACGGCTCGTCTATGCCCTTTCCAGGAATCACGTTGCAATCTGTGTCGATTGCAGTAATGAGTCGAACTTCCGCACGTGCTTCTCAGTCACTGAGGGGCTCAATAACCGGCGAGGTTGATGATCGATTGGAAATCTTATCGAAAACGTCACTCGGCATGCCTGTTCTGGGGCCGCTCGATTTGAACGAGACATTCGGACCGCTCATATTCAGGCATTCAGACGTATCATTCAGCACATTCACTATCAGCCGGTCCTACCGACTATGCGCGTCATTCACCTTTGAGTGCGTGGGAAAGACTTTCGAGTTCAATGCGAATGACCTCGAGTTCTTCATCGTCTCAGATGTCGTCAGTCCGACGGTACAAATGACACCGATGGAGCAAGGCACTGCTATTACCGGGGTTTTCGAGCTTGCGGACACCAATTCCCGGCGTTCATCATCGGATGAATATGATGATTCTCCTCCCTCATACTCGATGGCGGCTCCGGATTCAGAGAAACCACCGACGAAGAACTAGTACCGCATCTATGCTACTTTCGGAACACTGTTCAACGGGGTGTCTGTGTAATGGTTATGGATTCGCTGGTTCTGTTGAAGTAACTGTCAGCTTTTTGGAAGTTGTTAGACATGACGCATCGATACACTGCATAGTACAATAATACAGGAATTAACAAGCTCTTCGATCTCACTGTTCCTTCTTCCGCGGCACGGCAATGGTACAGCAGTGATCTTTGTTGCACAAGGTAAGCTCTGTGTACTAGCTTGCTTCGACGAGGAGCAGAACGGTGCTTAGGCTAAACAACACCTCTCTAAATCTTGCCAAGCTTGGGATTTGCCGAACAATTGCCGAGGTCCCTGGCGAAGATCCTTAATTTCCCTGAACCCTCAGACGAGTGGGCCCAATTAAGGTTGCAGCCGAGTCTGGATTCTTCAGACCGTGAAAGATTACCCGGATGGAGCTTACCATTCATAGCTGTGATGAGCCGATTTAGCCTGTGGTAGGACTGTGAAACGCTACCTGAGGCGGGTATTAGCGATTAGGGAGGTCTTAGCGCGGATGAACACTCTCGGCAGAGATACTCAACCAGTGCTCTCAGCTGAAGGAAGCACGCTGTTCAAGGATTGTTCGTATACGGAGTATAATAGTTCAGATATATCGTAATTCAGCCGGACTAGCTTCAGCTATCGCTGTCAACCTGCAGGGCTCTCGGGACATTGGCCGGATCTTCGTCAGTCTCGCAACGGAGCGGATCACCGACATGCCTAAACTGAAATCATCCTCCCGGTGATTCTCCACACTTGGCATCCATGGTTGATACAGGGGCGTAGGTGGAGTATGTCCAGCCTTGTCGGGGAAGCTGTATAAATACCGGTCACCTTGACCAGGACTCGACATTGTATCTCATCGCAGATCAATACAACCGCAGCAATCCACTCCACTCCCACAACATGGTGTCCTTCTCATCCATCCTGCTGGCCTGCAGCGCCGCACTCGGAGCACTAGCAACTCCCATCGACTCACTGCCCGAGGAGTCCTTCAACGAAACCGCTGCCCACGAGCTTGTCACCCGCTCCACGCCCAGTAGTACCGGCTACCACAATGGCTACTACTACTCCTTCTGGACCGACGGCGGCGGCGACGTGAACTACGTCAACGGCAACGGCGGCTCCTACAGCGTGCAATGGTCCAACGTTGGCAACTTCGTCGGCGGCAAGGGCTGGAACCCCGGAAGCTCCAGGTATACACCTCCTCTCTTGCTCACATTTCCCCCTATCCACTCTATCCCATACGCATATGAACCCAAACTAACCACCCACCCAGGGCCATCAACTACGGCGGCAGCTTCAACCCCAGCGGAAACGGCTACCTGGCCGTCTACGGCTGGACCACCGACCCCCTGATCGAATACTACATCGTCGAGTCTTACGGCACCTACAACCCCGGCAGCGGCGGCACCTACAGGGGCCAGGTCACCTCCGACGGCGCCACGTATGACATCTACACTTCTGTCCGCACGAATGCTCCGTCCATTATCGGTACCGCGACCTTTACCCAGTTCTGGTCCGTCAGGAAGTCGAAGCGCTCTGGTGGCACGGTCACCACCGGTAACCATTTCAATGCCTGGGCTCAGTATGGGTTGAAGTTGGGCACGCATAACTACCAGATTGTCGCGACTGAGGGATACCAGAGCAGTGGGTCTTCTTCTATTACTGTTTATTAAGGGTTGGGTAGTGGATATGTGAGCTGTGTGGTTGGACATGTGAGTTGTGTGGTTGGACTGTTGAATTCTGTGCTCCAGTTGGCTGAGAGGGGTTGGGTTATGGTTGGATCGTTGGGAGCTGTTCTCGATGCTGCGTTTTAGCTAGCCTCTGTCTGTCATTCTTTATTGTAGTAGGAAATTGACACTTTGCAATCACTTGACATCTCCAACTACCCCTTGTATGTAGAATAAACTAAGATGGGTCGGAGGAGCACCAAAGACCACAAACCATCCATCTATCAAACGAGCAGACTACCGCTTGATACCAAACGACTGCCACCCATCCAACAATTCAAGCTCGAACAATGCTTAACTCTTCGCATATGTACTCAACCCCCTCAGTCTCTCCCCATAATACCACAGCAACAACGGCGCCGGAATCCCAATCACAACAGCAACACACGCCAGAAGCGTATTTTCCCACGCAAAACCTAGATTACCGTATCTGCATGAGACCATTAGTTAACCTTTGCCAGAGAACCTAGAACAGGAACAAAAGCCTGGATTATACAAGTCACAGAAAGAAAGCAAAGAGACAAGAACCTACAAGCTAGGCGCCACCAGCGGCAACCCAAACCCCAATAAGTTCCTCAGAACCATGACGCTCGCCATTGAGCTGGCCGCGTATACCTGGTACGTATCGATCAGGTAGCCCTGCACGCAGACGAGTTGTGCGACGGTTGCGCCGGAGTAGATTGCTGCCCCGATGTTTCTATGTAGTTGTTCTTAGTGAGTATACTCTGTTCGACGGTTGGGATATATTTGGGAAGCATGGCTACGTACGGCATAATCCAATGTATACTCGTTCTCGCGCTCCATCCGTACCAGAATAGCCCGATGGGGACGACGACGGCGACTGCGCAAAGCGTCGGTAGACGGAACTCTGGTTTCGATTCCCCATTATTCTTTGCTCGCAGGCGTTTATAGATCCTGTCGGAGAAGCGGACGCCGAATTGCGTGGCGATGGTTAATCCAACTGTCATCGAGAGGTAGTTCAGGGAGCCGATGGACACCGACTCGTGGTAGATACCTGCCCAGACGTCGGGGAAGGTGGCAACCATGAGGTAGAGGATTCCATTGAGATATGCGAGATACAGACTGAGGACTTGCATGATGGGCTAGGTGGTCAGGAGACGGAACGGGCGGATGAGATTGTGCTTGAGCAGTGTGGCGGCGCCATCGTGCTCGGTGTGGAGATCGGGGTTTTGTGTGGACTTGCGCAATCGAGCTGCTTTGCGCTTGAGGAGGACGGGCCCGTAGGTCTCGCGGAGGAGGATGAGGCCGACGATTTGCACGGCGGTGATGGTAATGGAGATTACGTAGAAGCACCACCGCCAGGACACGTATTAGACGACGAAGCCGCCTGTGATGGGGCCGATGGCTGTTCCGACGAGAGGTGCCAGGGTGAATACTGCAATGGCTTTGCCTCGTTCGTGGGCGTCGAAGAGGTCGCTGTTCATTCCGCTTCCGATCTGTAGTCGAGTGGTGAGTAGTGGAGATAGATAGGAGTCATGGCAGAGATACCTACACCGTAAGGGCCAGCGGCGCCCAAGCCAGATAGAAAGCGAAAGATAATCAACTGGGTTGGCGATTTGGCAGCACCACACGCCGTATTAAACACGATATAAATTACGTTCATTGTGAGTAAAACTGATACTCTTCCGATCATCTCCGAGATTGGTGCCGTGAAGAGTGGTACGATCGCACTGCCGAGAAAGAAGACCGATAGACTCAGGATAAGCAGCGTGGTAGAGGGAAAGCCGAGGTCTTCGTGAATGGCGCTCAATGCCGGGGCAACCGTAGCAGAGGACATGGAGCTCAACAGATTATAGAGTGACATTGGGACAAATACCATCCATTTCCTTCTCGCAGGCCAGTTTTTAGGGTTTTGAGGGTCATCTGGGCCGTCCCAAGTCACCAGATTCGGATCGGTGGGAGGGATCAAAGGGGCGAGATTCCCTGGTCCAGTAGTTTCTGGATTCTTTTCTGAAGATGATATATTATTCGCCATGGTGCAATACAGCAGGTAATTGTGAGCATTGTAGGAAGTAGAACGACTTTTAATATCGGAGGTAAGCACTGGATGAGGGGGTTGCAGGTGTGAGATACCAAACTGGCTTCCTTTGTTTTGTGAAATATAGCAAACTTGGCTGCAATTGGCCGTATGGTGTTAATTATAGATAGCGTGGCCGGTGTCCCCACACGATGCCGTTCATCCGTAGTGCTTATTTGCGATATGCAAAGCTTCGGGTGATTATAGTGGGAGCTTGGTTCATTGGTATGCAATCTACCTGGTCTTTGGTTAATCTCCGCCAGCGAGTCTATGTACGCGTTGAATATATATAGGATAGTAGAAGATTAGGACAAGCCCTCATTGAAATATCAACCGTCTAAACTACCCACTCAACAAACCATCGCCATGGTTCGGCGAGATACCCCGTGTAGAAGACGATCTACTACACTCACCTAGCTCCCACCGCATATCATACTCACTGGTCTGTACTGTAGCGCTCTCTCTAAGATCTTGCATGCTCTCACTCGGTTCTATCATCCTGTTGTGATTCCCATGACGTAGGCCTTTCAAGTTCCCTGAGTTTAGTCCGGAATGCCCGGTCGCATTCGCGCTCTGTCTTCCTGATTTTGACGTAGAACCCTCTATCGTGCTATGTGCCCCAGAGACTGAAAGTTCGAAAAATTCCGAAACAGTACCAGCCATCATCCCGGTTTGTAGTTCGGCGAGCGCCCGCTTGAGGCTCGGGATACATGTGCAAAGGATAGAGGCACTTTGTATCAATTGTAGCCATATTGTCGGCATGAGGATATGCCACGATTGGTCCAGGGGCGTTGAGTGGAAAACAGGGCGAAGCGACATGATATATGGTATAGTCAGGACGGGCACCCTTATATGAACCTGTGAGTTAGCTCAGGGCCAACAAGGCCGGCAAAGAGAGGCAAAGTTACTCACAGGACGCGTAGTCCAAAGAGAGCGCAGATTTGGAAGCACTTCCACTGCGACATCTGGACCTCCCACATCAGGATCATAGGTAGTACGACCAGCCCTATGTCAAGCAGTATGTGACTTACAGCCAGACCCGTGTAAAGTGCTTCTTGGTTCATGTGTCTGCCGAGATTGAGGTCCCACACCTGGGGTTGCGCACATTCAACTGCTAGAGCGATTGTAAAGGCAATGGTCCAGGCTCCAATCAACCCTAGAAGCATCTTACACGCGAGAAGGACTACACTAAACGGCTTTATGGAGATCAGGAGGAGTGCAACGGAGGCTTTGGAGCAAGCTAACACGACGACAGAGAGGATCTGACTTGCGTAGAGAAACTATAACAGGTTAGTTTTTCAATGATGACTTGTCAACAGATCAGGAGCTGACATTGCTATAAGATTCAAACATCGCATCGCTCAAAGTCTTTCTGTGCTTACCGATACCGTTCGAACTAGCAATATTCGCACAGGTGGTTTGAGGAATGAAAACTATCTTGCAGGCATTGTGAATGTATTCCAAGCAAGAATAGAGGATGGAAACTTACCATTGCCGCAATGAGGAATATATCACTCCAAGTGAGTGAGTGAAGGATTCTCACCCGCGAGATAAGCGTCACAGTGGTCGCCAAAGCCGCGACAATCAATAAAATGGCACTCACGGTGATCACCCACCCTCCATGATCCTCAGGCGAGATGGGGAGAAGCGGCGGTAGGATCTCCGTAGCATTTGCTGGCATCGCACTGTCCAAGGCTCTTCAAAAGCTGGGCACCAGTGCAGATGCCAATGGGAGATGTGTAACATAATATTTAGCCATTTTTCTACCCCTAAACTGACACAACGGGCCAGGTAAAAGTACAGACTCAGGTGCCTCTTGGCCAATTAAATATCCTTGTAAGGTTGCAGCACTAATGAGCTGCTAAAAGTGCTGTCAAGGTAGACTACGCAGGGATGTCTGTAGTTAGCGTCTTTAACTGCATCCAGGGAGCTAGGGTTTAACCCGCCTGTTAATTAATCCTTTCCTCCTGGCGTTCCGCCTCTTCCCCTCAATTTCTTTTGGTTAACTATTCTGTTTCTCTACTTCAAACTTCCGAATCAAATTCAATCCGATGTTGACTCGGTTCCAATATGGAACAGCATGAGATGAGGACAGTCGCCGAAACAAATATTGACACCCCGGCAGACAAGTGTATAAGCTCGGCAATTTCTGATGACAATCAACAACATCATGAGGATACGTCGGGTCAGACGCAAATAAAGGTGCGCTGCTCCACGACTTCATACCAGTTGAACAGGAAGTGGTGACACGAACCAATATCAGCGCCTTTTCAACTTCACGCAGATGTTCTTTTTCTCGCTCACCTTTATGTCGAGCTGGGAGACTCAAGCCTTGTACGTGTTTGTACATCCTCCATCACTATCGCTTAGGGGTACTGATGCACAGTCGCTAGAAATTTGAATGCGGTACTCACAAACGGGGGACCCGAAGCTCTAGCTTGGGGAATTGTGATTGTCATATTTGGTGCTTTGGCGCAATGTGCTTCATTAGCTGAGATGGCATCAATGCAGCCCATCGCCGGGGCACAGTATCATTGGACACATTACTTGGCGCCTGCTAGTCAGAAGAGGTTTATCACTTGGATGCAGGGTACTTCACAGCATTGCGTACGGTCAGCAATAATACAGTGTACTAACATTTAACTTGATATAGGGTGGATTACTTGGTTCGGCTGGGTCTCGCTGCTTGCAGGTGTAGCAAATACCACGGCGACTACCATCCAGGGCCTAGCGATCACAAACTACCCTGATTACGTACCAGAACGGTGGCATTTGACTCTGATAATCTTTGCTGTACTCATTATCGAGGCGCTCATGAATATGTATACCTTCCAGCTGATCCCTTGGATTGAGCTTTTGGCTGGGATTCTACACGTTGTTCTCTTCATCATTTTCCTGGTCGTCTTTGTTGCGTTGGCTCCACGTCATACGCCAGACTATGTGTTTTTAACAACCCAATCCCAATCAGGCTGGAACAATACATTCGTTTCATGGAACATAGGGCTTTTAACACCATCATGGGGGTTTGTCGGTGAGTCATGGTAGCCTCTCGCTCGTGTTCGAAAACCAACTGATGGTCATAGGCTTCGACGGGGCAGTTCATATGAGTGAAGAGGTTCGTCGTGCGCGAGAGGCAGTCCCCCGATCGATGGTCTGGTCCGTCGCCACTAATGCCGTCCTTGCGTATGGAATTGTTATATGCATGCTGTTCACAATGGGTTCGGTCGAGGACGCCCTGAACTCCAGCTTTCCCATCATTGAAATCTGCCAACATGCCACGGGATCCACGCGAGCAGCCACTGCCATGGTCTGCGGACTTCTGGTCGTTGGACTGTCCGTAACCCTAGCCAGCGTAGCATCCGCCTCCCGCCTCACATGGGCCTGGGCCCGGGACGGCGCATTACCCAAATGGTTCTCCTATGTACGTACATCCAATCAAGCGTCTACCATCCAACCTATAAAACACGCCCCCAACTAACTTCCAAGAAAGATTGACCGCAGACACAACGTCCCCATTCGCGCCGTATGGCTCCCTGTATTCATTGTCATGATACTAGCCTGCCTCAACATCGCAAGCACCGCCGCCTTTGGAGCCTTCATAGCTCTCTCATCCATAGGCCTATTTGTATCCTACTTCATCGCGATCAGCTGCATGGTGCATAACCGCTTCCGGAAAGACCCAGTACCCATGGGGAACTGGAATTTGGGCAGATGGGGTCTGCCGGTCAATATCTTCGCCTTGGTTTACACAGCCTATGTCACTGTCTGGTTGACGTTCCCTTCTTACCGGCCTGTGACTGGCGCGAATATGAACTATGCGTTGCCGATTTTCGCTGCGTCGACTCTATTCGCTTTTGTCTATTGGTTTATTCATGGCAGGAAACGATGGCCTGGGTTAAACAAGGAGGTTCTGCGGCTTGTGGTTGAGAGGGGTGAATTGCAGCTGAAGTGACATTTCGTGCTGTGGTTTTTTATATTGGAGAGGTTCGGACGCATATAGTGTACAATGGAGTTCGCTCTATATCTTCTTGGTTATTATAGTCAGTCAACGGAGGGCCAAAAAGGCCCACGAGAGTGATCCTCAAACGTATAATAGGTAAACACTTTAGTGATATTAGGTATATTAATATTATTGTAAGTAGACTGTACGTTGAGATACACTTTTCCAGGCCTATTGGCTATTCAAAAAGCCCATAATCTCTGTGATTGACATCTTGAACCTGTCGGCAACAGCCAATGCTTGGTCTTCTGTGAGTAGATCGGATTTGTACGTGAGCCCTAGCCCAACATCTGTTGTTCCAATCGTAATGGTAGCGATAATGCCATACTGTTCAGAGCGGTTAGATGATAGTCAACGTAGTGGGGCTGTGTGAATCATACCTCTGTCGGCTCTAGAGTTTCTAGTTCCTTGAAACACAGACTCGCATCGGGGGTATCCATAGACAGCGGCTGCTCAACCGAGATGCAAGTATTGAACAAAGGCTGGCCGAAGTATGTTGAGAAACGTAACACCTCAATGAGGGAGCAATGCTGGTTCAACAATCGATTACCGATTTCTGTTTGATTCCTCCGTAATACATCCCATAGCGAGTCCTCCCTGCCGAAGCGAAGTTGACAAACTAGAACATTGAAGAAGGGTCCTACCATCTTATCAACATCAGGAATTCGGGAATCTCTTCCAGATATGAGGGCCCCGAAGCACACATCATCGGACTCGGTATACCGCCGCAACATTAAACCCCAAGCTACTTGTAGCACATTACTCACAGTGAGTCCATGCCTAGTGCAGACAGGTGTCAATGTGGCGGTGCTAGCGAGCTGCTCAGTAACGACCAAAGTATCGCTGGGTGAGTCTTGATCTCTAAGCCTCGGAAAAATACATGGACTGGCATCCTTCAACTGCCTTCTCCAATAGTCCATACGATTATCACCATTTGGCAGGCTTTGAAGCCAGGCCACTGCCGAGCTATATGATGGCCCGGGAACAGAGGATAGCTGTCCATCGTATGCCTGTGCTAGCTCACGCAAGATGATCAAAACGGAAGTGGCATCAAGAAAGGCATGCCCACCCTCGAGCTTGCAGAATACGCGACCTGAAACCGTTTGACAAATCCTAAATGCATGTGGATAGTATAGGCCAGTGTCAGACGGGAGGAAGGGCTTCCGCAACTCTGTAATGACATGTTCATCTTCGCAAGAAAGTATGGCGGCATCTGCCATATAGTCTTTATGCACAACATGTATCTTCGAGCTCATACCGTCACACAGTGGAATATCAATTAGATGTGTCCGCAACGCAGGGTGACGACGGGCAAGGGTAAACCAGGCGTTGCACAGTCTAACTGGGGACACTGGAGAGGATTTACTCCTAGTGGTGACCTCCCATATAGTGTAGGACTGATAATAAAATGGTCGCAACATTTGCGTTTGCAGCAGCCCCTGATGAGATTCGCTGCATGGATACGCATCCTCAATGGAATCCATGCTTCCAATGTCATATGTAGCCATAAGTAAGGATTCAAGCCTTTCCATATCGCGATCTGAATTCAAAAAAAGAAGGGAGAATCGCCTGTCTAAACTGCGGTCGCTTGCAGGAGTCGATGGAGGTGTATACGGGGTGAGTGGCATCAACCTTGTTGCTATGAGTTCGATGGTTCTCCCATTGAATATATCTAGTGCTGTCAAAGATAGCTGATGCTTTCTACAGAGGGATACAACCTGCATGGCAGATATTGAATCCCCACCGAGAGTGAAAAAGTCATCCTTGGGACTTATATTCTGTGGATCAATGCTCAGCACATGAGCAACAATCCCTCGAAGACGTGCCTCTTCCGGTAATATATGATAGTCAATGTACTTGTTGACAGGGTCTGTCAAAGAATGTAAGAAGTCAAGAGTCATAGATGAGGCTGCCTCGCACAAATAAATTCTATCCGGTTGGCCGAGTGGGTCTACTGGTATGAAACTGACCGGCAGGCATAGCGATGGAACCGCAGATCGAGGGAGAGATTGTCCTAGGCTAGAAATCAATTGCTGCAGTTGCCATCTGATATTGTCAGTAGGTCGTGTGAACAAGCCCGATGTTTCTGTCGGCTCACGCCTTCTCTTGGTTTCGCAAACGAACATAGCTGTACTCCGATTGGAACTTCCGTTCGGTACTATAGCGTCCACAAGAACAAATACATCTCCACCGAAATAATCATAAACCTTCTTCTCGATGTGTGAGCTCCAGTACTGGCTCTGCTGAAGTGCGTAGGAATACGTGTCTTGGGGAGATGGGATGATGTTCTGGATTTCCAAGGTGGGAGATTTGGTTATCATGTCAATAAGATACTCCAGTTGATCCAACAACCTCTCCATGTCACCAGAAATGACAACTGCATTGTCAGATATGGCCTTTACCGACACGCTGTGAGTCCGAAGTTCACACACTAGAGTTAACGGACAAGTGCTGAACTTCGACTGCTCGTGCTCATTGCTCTCTAATTCAAAGAAGATTTCCGATGATTCCCGATATGTGACAGGCTGTATGATCAACAGACTTTGGAATTGGCAGGCCCTGGCCGTCTCGGTACCAAATGACTTTATCCGTCGCAGCCCTGTGTGCTCAAAAGGGATGAGCGTTGCTATGTGATTTTGCATGCACAAAAGCGCATCAGTTATGTTCATCGTCCCATAGAG